GGGGGGATGGGCATGAAGGAGGGCACTTTGGGGATGAGCACTGAGTGTTATGTAGAAACTAATTTGACAATAAACTATTTGTAAAAAAAAAAAAAAAAAAAAAGAATAATGTCTGGATTTAACATATAATCTCAGTTAAGATGAACAGTATATTTGGGTTTAGGATGAAATAGAAGCTACATGAGTCATTTTTTCTTTACTTCAGAAATTAAGACAATGTTAAAATTTGTAAATATTCTTCTTTTTAATGTTTATTCATTTTTGAGAGAGAGAGAGAGAGAGAGACAGAGCGAAAGTTGAGAAGGGGCAGAGAATGCGGGACACAGAATCTGAAGCAGGCTCCAGCCTCTGAGCTGTCAGCACAGAGCCGGATGTGGGGCTTGAACCCACGAACTGTGAGATCATGACCTGAGCTGAAGTCCAATGGCTAACCGACTGAGTCACCTAGGCATCCCTATAAATATTCTTAAATATCTATTTACTTACAGGACATTATGCTAGTAACAGACACTTATCATATGAGTAATCCAAACACAACTATTCAGATTAAATGGGCAAAAGAATATATACATCTTAGTTTTGGTTCATTTATTATCATTCTGTCAACCACTGGTTAAGTTACTTATAAATAAACTGTAGAAATGTTAAGAATTGGTTAAATATTGTTTTAATCTTTTAGAAAAACTTGAATGCTGAAAAATTCTAATTTATATTTATAGTTTATAGCTATAATTACCTTTAAAGTTCATTTTTTCATTATCACCAACCCTTTTCTATCTGTTATTTTTATTATACTATCAAAGTATCTTCTAACTCTTTATGAAAGTATCATGTATATCGATTACATCACTACCTATAATGCTTGGTAACTAATCCCACAATGAATAATGCAACATGAACTTTGATTAATGCAACATCTGAAACCTACCCAACAACTGAAAAAAAGGTTTTTAATTTTAAAACATTTTAATATAAAAAATAGCTATATTACCTTGACTATTTCTTCAGTTCCAATTAATTCAGGGAAGAGGTCAAGTTCTACAAAATTAGAAACAAAAGTATTAAAATGTTTATTCAATAATTTCAGCTGTGCGGGTTTACCTTTGGATGGAAAGAGGGAAGGTGGGGAAGGAAAAAAAAAAAAGACTTGTTAGCTTTGAAAATACAGAATCTCCAAAAATAAAAATTTCAGATTTGACTTTTCAACACTACTGAACACTACACGACACACTGCTCCATAAGCTTATATGAAACTGCATTCAAAACCTTCACTTCCATCCTGTAATCCAACTCCCGTCCCCTCCTCCCTCCCCTCTCCATGTGATTGAAGCTAAGAAGGGAAAGGGGGACAGACTGAGTATAAAAAAATCCAAATAATTTTTCATCAGCATAGATGGGGGAAATGGCAGGGATTAGGAGAACTGACAGGATTTATTTTCTTATTCAGCTACTTATTCTTTCAGTCCTTCTTCTGGTGGAGGGCCCAATGCTTCCCTTTACGCTGTGAATTTGGGCTCATGCTTATATGTACGCAGGGTGCCGCACCAAACAGTGTTTTCCAGCAGGTCCAGCCTGTCCGGCCACAGGAAGGACTGACCGGAGGGATCTGGTTCCTTCTCACCCGGGAAACTCAGCTGTGCCGTCTATGCAAAGATCTGGCTGGGCTCATCCAAGTCTGCTGTTCCCAAAGACCAAAATCCGTGTACTTCCAGTACATGGCTATCTCAGTCCTAACACACAGCCTGCCGATAATGTGAGAAAAGATTAGGAGCTGGTTCCCTTTCTCCAACAAGGAATGTAGCCCCGATGTCAAATTACTGAGGGGTCAACTGCAGAGGCAGTGTTCCTCACTCTTCACCTGTGCCGCATAGGACGCAGGTGGAACTAAGCATTACTGCAGAAATAGTTCCCTTATTCCTGTTATTTTATAGAATCTCACTCCATCTCCCAAGATTCAGGCTCTTCACTATCCCAATGCTGCTTATGTTCTATGTTTTATACCTCCAGGTATCCTCAGAGGAAATGCACACTCTACACATAGTTTCCAAAGGCAAAACTGGACTAACATGAAATGTTTATCAAATCCAGTCCTGTCTTATAATAGACTTTCTTGAGTTATTTTTAACAGAAAATCTCCAGATATTAAGAAATGTAAAACTACAAAATGTGGTCCTGTGCATGCTTTCCATTTAGAGGAGAATTCAAGACGAATTTAGAAGTGAGTCACGCTATCAAGTGAACTTAGATAAAATTAATACTCTTGACTATTTAGCTATCTCGAAGTTACTTACCCTGAACACTGTTAATTTAGCCCTGAATTAAATTTTAACATTCAATTATTTTTTTTTTCTTGTTGAAACTGACTGTGAAAGAGTTTGGAAACCTTTATTTGGATCATTAATGTTTCTCCATTTTCTATTTCTTGTTTTTCATGCTCTTTATTCTTCACATTTTCAAATTAAAATGATTTCAAATAGTCTGGAACACTTGTATCTCTATAACCCCTAAGGAAATAAATACATGTGAGCTTAAAGATGGAGTGCAACTAAACTGTAAAAGACAAATAAGAAATTTCAATATGATTTTATACAAACGACAATTAGAGAAGTTCATGCATACGAAACCTTCAAATTCAGCACGTGAAATAAGCCATAATTTATTGAAATGCTTTTATTTATTTATTTGTTTTTAAATGTTTACTTATTTTTGAGAGACACAAAGAAACAGAGCATGAGCTGGGGAGGGGCAGAGAGCAAGGGAGACACAGAATCTGAAGCAGGCTCCAGGCTCTGAGCTGTCAGCACAGAGCCTGACACGGGGCTCGAATTCACAGACCCCGAGATCATGACCTGAACTGAAGTTGGATGCTCAACCGACTGAGCCACCCAGGTGCTCCTTTATTGAAATGCTTTTAAATGGAGTCATACCTTTTCGAGTACTTTTAAAATATTTTAAAGTTAATAGGGGCAAGTCATAACAAATATTTGTTAGTGATACATAGTCTGTAGATTTTTCTCTGTTAAGAGGCGATGGGGAAAAAACTCAGTGATAGTCCATTCTCCTCAACATGCTTAAAGAAATGTTGTAAAATTAAAAACAAACAAGGGAGCAAACAAAAGCATGGTCTAACTTTACTTAACTTGATACTTTTAATAAGTAAAAGTAATTTTCTTATGACTGTCAAAGCAGGCACAGGGTGTATATAATTATCACATTGAGGACTGATTTCCTTTTCTTCCAATGTTCTCGAAGAGTATTATTGCATTTAATTTATTTTTATCCATTTACTGCAGCATAAATTAACTACACGGATTCTGGTTCCTATTAAGTTAAAATGTGTGATTTTACCCAGTACTTTCTCCGAAGAGTAGGTACTGAAACTGGCCTTGCTGTTCACTGCAGTTAGTGGTAAGACATCTTCTGGACGCTTTGGAGCCTAGGGGCAAAATGTATGGGTCCCCACAGTCCTTTGGTCCCTCTTTGCTTCATGGCCCTCTTATGGGTGAATATCCCAAGTCTGGGGGTCTTCAGATCTGTATGTATTAACCCTCTTTGAAGGATCTTCATTTTGGTTTCCTATTAGATTATGTGAATTGACTAAAATTCCGTGGTTGCCCAAGAGCAATTCAATACACCTTCCTCCATATAATCCAGAACTCTCCTGCAGAGCCTCTTCAGAACAATTTTGAAATCAAATAATTTTAGAAAAAATTTTTCTATCTTCCTGGAGATTCTGAAGCCATACTTCTGAGTCTGAGAGTTCAGAGTACCCGAGGTGTAGTTCAAGTACTCAGCACAAGATCGCATACTGGGTACCCTTTGGCTTGCTGGTTCCTCACAAATAAGTGATATTTTAGTCACCACTGATCTGACTCAGGCACTACTAATATATTAGGAGCTCAACAATTATAATGCTTTACAGTCTTCTCACGCACTCGGTCCCAGTAGACTGCACGAAGGCTACAAAAAGTCTAACAGTAAAGGTTGTGAATACTTTTCCTTTCTTTTTTTTTTTTTTTTGAGTGAACACTTGAAATTCACTATGTGTGACAACTCAGCAAAAACTATTGGTTCATTCTGGTTTTGTTGTCGAGCACATGTAATGCTGCATTTTCTAAAAGAGCCTGTTAGTAACACATTAATATTCCATAAGGCAAAAAAGCAGCAACACTGACATGGGTTGGCAAGCAAGGCTTATTTAATTGTTTGAAGAGGAGCCAAGTTTCACAGTGCAAAAGGTCAAAGCAACCGTAGATTGCAGTCTCTTCAAACTGTGATGTTAAATCTTGTAACACCCACAGGATAGGGCAGTACAGGCAGAATAAGGACATGTATATAGTGATTTAACAAGCACAACTGTTACATAACTGAAAAACACGCAACAACAGAAAAGCATGTGATCTAATTCGCCACACATGTAAATTTAACACATGTAATTATCAAGGCCCTAAAACATGTACTGGAATAATATCCTCTATAACTGTACAATAATTAGCTGTACATTATAGAATGAAATGACAGTTATTTTAGTTACAATGACATAAATATATTTATGATTTATGTATTCATAAATATAATTTTCTATTAAGTCTTTGGAAAGAATATACATTTCAGTTTAACCTTAAAAAAGTTTCCTAGACAAATTTAAATGGTTTCTTAATACGCATTTATGCATGGATTTTAAAATAGCAGTTTATAATAATATTTTGTGAACACCAGTTTTATGGTGATATTGTTGTACACAGCAAGTATAATTAAAATGCACAAGCAATAATCAAATTAGCCAAAGTGAAGCGCACAATTTGGAAGATTAAGATTTCTTTCGTGGATATTGATTAAAATATGTGAAATCTACTATTGAAAGAATGAGGGCAGTTATAAAGGACCTCCTTCATTTCTTTCTAGCAAAAGCAAATAACGATACAGTCTTTAGAAAACAGCTCACCCAAAATAATAAAAATCAACTCAACAGGATACATTACAATGTTACTAAGGTAATGAACAACATAATTAACAAGATGAAATGGTACTAATAAAAACAATGAAATAATCAGCAAACTCAAAAGCCACTCACATCTCTATTAGCCACATAAATTCTAAGACTCTTGCAAGCATCATCATACTAAGCCACGCGACAGTACTTTCGTCAACATTTTTACTGTGATGTATTTACCACAGAAGTATTTAAAATAATGTAATTTTAGTAACAAATTGAAAATACATGAATTAAAATGCCAGTGCAGCCTTCTAGATCAGAAAGAAAATGAGATCTAAAGTAACAAATATTTTTTTATGCAAATTAAGAAGACCTCAAACTTTGGGTAAATTGGCTTCTGATGAAGGACTTTTTGGTAGGAATAATTAAGGAATAATCTAAGTTTTTAACCGTTGCTTTTAAGAGGAATATCATAGTGAAACATTAAATCAAACACTATCTTTTACTAAAACATCATTACTGTACAAAATGCTTTAAAGGACAGACATCCATGGAGATCAAATGGTTTGTCCAAACTAACATCTCATTAGCTCAGCAGTGTCCCCAGCCTTTAAATAAATGGAAATCAAGTTATAATATTTCTTATTTTGTACAAATGTGAAAGTGCTACGAATGATACAAGAATGTCATACTTTGTGCAAGTGTTGACTCAGCCTAAAAGGATCACTCAGAAATCATTTCTGTAGAAAACAGACATTCGATCTGTTTTTCTTTATGCAATAAACATCTCAAAAAGAAAAAAGAGAAAAAATTCAGAAAGTTTAAAATTTTGGCATAGTGGATAGAGTGAGAAAGAACATAGCAAATAGCTAGAATTATTGTTTGTAAACTCCTGGGAAACTGTTTTCTGTGCAGATGAGAGTGGTATAATTAAACCAAGATAGTAAATTAAATGAATGTGGAATTCCCATTCTGAAACACACAATAGGATTAGAGGAGATTTTTATGTCACATTTCATCAATTCACATGTTCTATTGGCCAATACGGTGAATGACACCCTGCTAAAGATGTGATTTTCTAGGTGGATCCATGCGAGGAACGTGCCTGAGGAATGGCAGTCAGAGCATAAGTGTAACTGAAGCTATGGGCAGTTAATTTGATACTCACCTTTCAATAACATTTAGAGCTCACATTCCATTTAAAAATAAACTAATTTTGTAAAACAATGCTAAATAAAAGCAATGCATCATACACAGGCCATGAGGCAGATCATAAGAAATACCAAATAGTGATATTGTCATCATGACAGTAGTGATATTCATTAGCCATCAACATTTTAATCTGGGAAGTAACTTGGCAAGTTTGTAGCCTGTGTTTTAGGAGGATACCTAATCTAACCTCTAAAGCTCTGACATATATACTTAAAAATTTGATTGCTGAGAACAACTATGTTGAGGTAATGAGTGAACAAGCTCATAATGGATTATAATCCCTGCTGTAACATACGGACTACAAAGGCTAATCAATACACATCAGTTTTCCTTCAATATGTCAAACTGGAATATGCTATAATTAATATAATTTATTACTATCTATCTCCATTAAAAATTTATAAAAATATCAGTGAGTAGACTCATGGGTAGGGAAGACCAAAGAATGTTTACATTTAAGCATGTGTGTTTGCATATATTTATAAATATGTATATGTATGATGTCTGTGTGTATACACATGTACATATGTACACATACATATATAATTCCATTCTATTACTTTAAAATTGCTTATATTAGCAAAAGAAAGACTTTAATTATATACATTTGTAAATTGTTAAATTATGATGACCTGTACTTCATATAGTTATTGCATAAGGTTTTAGATCAAAAGATTTTCCCATAATCCTTAAAGAAGATGCATGCAAAAATAATACAATTAGAAGTAAAATCTTTGTTTTACTTTGTGAAACAGTACTGGCAAATCAACTAAGAGAAAAGCAGTCTCCTCCACTCCACACAGAATTATAAAAAGTGGATAAAATTATCTAAGATAAACTGTTGGATGCTGTGTATAGATATTTCAAAGTACCTCACATGATCCTAGGATCATGTATATACTTACTACAAAATGTTTTGGGGGCTGAAAAAGGAAATAAACACAAGTGAAACCAACTCTTCATTATCAAAATACAAGTCTTAATATTTACATTGCTATTTTCAGTCAATGACCGTTACAGATGTAACAACCAATTTTGCTATTCTTATTTTAAAAATAGAAGAATTCAATATTTAGAATAAATTTACTTATTGTCCTGTCCCAGATCTGCTGAATGAAAATGGTTTTTATGCTTCACAAAATTAGTGGATGATTCAGATTAAAAGAAAAATCATTTTGCCCTTTAGCCAAAACAATATAAAGTCACAGAGAAAGCACCATTGTATCTAGTAACTAAACTAGCTTCCTTATGTAGATTATATAAAGGCATATCAGGAGAGCACTTACCAGGGTCATCCGAAGGCATGTCGACTATAAGCTGGTCACTGTACTTTCCATATAAGCCATTAGTGCATATGGCTACTATCTGAAGCACATAACTCATATTGGGTAGTAAATTATTGAGAATAGCACCCTAAAAGAGAGATGTCAGTAATTATATAAGTGTATTATTCTTTTTTAAATTCTCTTAAATGTTTATTTATTAAGAAAGAGAGAGTTTATGTGCAATCTGGGAGGGTGGGGAGGAGACAAAATCCAAAGCAGGCTCCTTGCTCTCGGTGAGGCTCAAACCCACCACCCGTGAGATCATGACGTGAGCCGAAGTCGGAGGCTCAACCGACTGAGCTGCCCAGGTGCCCTAAAGGGATTATTCTCATAAGAGTCCTTAAATAATAGACATCTCTCAATGAAAAATATTTACATTTTATTAATGTAAGAAAAAGTTTACGCAATGTTGTTACGTTGAATTTGTGACATTTGTGAATTATGAAGACACTGGAAAACTAGGCCTCTTTGTTTTTTAAAAAGTTTAGTTTTAGAAAGTTTCATTTTCAACTAGAACTCATCAAGTTCATAATGAGTACCCAAATCTACAAATTAACATTTTAGACAAATAAACATGGACCATTTGCAAAGAACAAAATGGGAAAAACACACTGAAAACCCAATTTATCTCTTTACCATTACAATCTATAAGCCAGATAGTAATAGAACTATTGTCTTCTTAATATCATTATGAAATGAAAAATGGCAAATTCCCATAAATGACACAACGTCCATGGTTCGGCGTCCCTGTTCTAGATACCTTGATTAAAAAGTTAAGTATTTTATCAATTTGCCCATATGGTATTCCACACCCTGGTAACAAGGACAGTTTTTGTTTAAGTTCAAGTTCCTAGGCCTTGCAGGACTCTAGTTGTCTGAATGCATAGTCCAGTGTCTTTGACCTGCGGTGGGGCTTTCCTAGAGCCACCACCAGATAGGGTTTTCTCAACTAGACCCAATCTATGGCTAATCCTTTCCTACCAAGGCCAAGTTTAATACTGCGATGCTCTGGTCAGAAGGAATCTGTACTTTTAAAAAAAGTTTTAATTTTAACTCCTGTTGGTTAATATACAGTGCTGTATTCGTTTCAGGTGTACAATACAGTGATTCAACCATTCCATACCATACTTTATTTTCTTTAATTCGTGTGCATGGGTGGGGAGGAAGAGGGAGTGGATCTTTTCCTAAAGATGATCTGCCTTTTGTTAAAAAGGTCTGACACAACTGACCTCACGTCTACTACTTGGAAAGTTGATGCAAAGTGTTCCCTACTCTATTTTCTTGTGCCGGAAGAGTATGGTGTGAGAAATGATATATGACAGTATTCGAGCACGGAGATTCCAGATCCAATTATTTCCACAACTGTGCGATAACAGTCAACTGTTCTTTGAGTCCTTTTATTCTTAAAGAGAGGATACACTAGACGAACTCTAGTTTCCAAGTCTTCTCTACATGTCTATTCTATAATGTTGTTGTTAGCAAAGCTGTGATCTTCCTGTAATTGAAAACAAATAAGAGCCTAGTGTAATTCACTGTCAGTCTGGACCTAATTTAGTGTCGCTTCTGTTTCCCTCCTCCCCACCGGAGAGTTTCATAGAAAGTTTAGGGCAACAATATATAATCATATGTAAGTTCTTACCTTGAACATTAAACTATAGTGTTATCAATACATGAAACAATTGATCTTATAGTTACCAAGTCCTGATAGCCATCCGTCAAAAATTCATGCTTGGTTTGGTCTTCTCCTTCTAACTGCTGGTACAGAACTGCAAACTTCTCAATCATGGTGTCATAAACCACTCGAGGTCTCTCCCACGTAACAAGAAGGCTGGTATAATTTTCTGGGTCAGCCTGAATATTTTCTGGTTCTGAACTACAAACTTCAGAGAAAAAAAAAGTACAGTTATTGAAACAACCATCAGCCTCTAGGATTTTTAACAAATAAGACATATTCTATGAAGATTTCTGTTGCGCTTTATTTCAACAGAAGGTAAAAAGTTACACTTCTCCACTGTGAAGCTTTTGTTTCTGCCAATTTGTGTATCTGAAATACTTCTTCCTTCCCTCTTACCTATCTGTGTCTACCTTCCCATTCAGGAAAGGTCTAGGTCAAATGCTTCCTCTTGTTATGCACGCTTTGATCTCTGCCACGGGAGTGATCTGTGTCATTTTGAACTGTCTGTTTTAACACTACTATTGTTTTAATTTCATGTTCTCCTATATTATTCCTCTCGCCCCCCTGAACAGATCTGAACTATTGTAGTAGATAATAAACACAAGAACCACAGCTTTTATTTCTATATTGTGTAGAACCCTATTTTGAATATATTTGGAATATGAATTCAATTTTAGAAATAAAGAAAGGATATCTTCAAGTTCATGATGTTTTTACTTTTCTCTCTCTTTTATTGTTTGGTACCTGAAACATATGTTTAGCTCAGAATGAGGAGAATTAAATTATAAAAGATGGTCTATAATCAGACATTTTGTTGTTTCAAAATCCTTGAAATAATTTAAAGTTCCCTATAAGAGAAAACCATAGGAGAACAACTAAAACTCTCATTTCTGTATTTTTTGGACCTGCTGACAAAAATCCCACTTTGGTATTTTAAATAGATTAAGCAATTAACCTTAGGAAAATTTGTTTCTCTGATCTGAAAAAAAAATTTTTTTGAAAACTGTTCAGGTTCTTCTTAAAATGAATTCAAGTCTATACTGAGAATCATGCCAAAAATTTAGTCCCATTAAAAAGACTGTTTTGATAATTTCTGAAATGCACTCATAATGTGGTAATTTGGGATAATTACAAAAGTAAAAATAAAAAATTGTATGATATTGTGCTAATGGAGCAAAGCAAGAAATATAATCTCTTCATAGGCTAGATATATTTGCAAAAGAAAGTGAGAAAGGTCTCTCAAGCTAAAGACTGACGTGCTCACAGAACCCATGCTTTGCTTTTGGGAGATATCTGAAGTTACAAAGCCATCAGATGAGACCATGCGATTGACTTAAGTCAGCCAATGGTCACGAACACAAAGAAAGACTCAATGAAAACATGCCAACAACAGCATCAGAATGTGACCAAAATAGCCTTTGTAGTTTTGCTTATGAACACAGGAGGGCACCCAAAACTAACAATTGACCTTGTAAATTGAAACTTCAATTTTATATACAATATTTAGAACAGGAGTTTTAGCCTATGTATGCTGTGCTAGCAATGGTATGTAAATTGTCCAGAAAAATATAAATGTATATACTTTAAATAATACATGTATAACTTTTATGACTCAGAGATAGGATTATTCACTGTAAAAACTGTTAATGTTTTTTTTTTTTTTTTGGTCTACTAAGGATTTAGGATGGGATGTTCCTTTGGTAATAAAAGAAAAATTCTTCAAAACCACAAATTTATGACAAAGCATGAATTCAGAATAAGTAAATGTATTCTAATTTAGCTCTAGATTACACCATCATTGCTCTATCTGGTGACACTTCCATAGTGGCCGCCAGATGGCAGAAGACCATCAAATCATCTCAAAAGGGAGCTACTCACATAACCTATATCATTAGAGGAAAAGGATCGCCTCAGTCTTCTTTCTAATGAGCCGAAGTTCATTTTTAGAAGGTTGAAAGTGATTCTGGACAGTGTAATTTATACATTTTGTCCAACAAAAATCAATCCCACGTTTTAGAGAGTAGAAATGATTTAAAGTGAACTATTCTCTCTACAAAATGAAACTCTCTTAAAACACAATAAAGTTTGATGCATGCACACAAAACAAAATTCTCTTGAGAAAATATAAATCATTCGCTGCAAAACACCCAAAGGACTGCTGCCTAATTAGTGCAAAATTACTTTCGTTGGATGTCTGTGTTTATTTTGCCTTACTTGTAGAAATCAGCAGATGTTTCAAACTTTAAGAATCAGCATTAATATAAAGTAGGACTTCAAAAAGAAACTTGTATTTCCTTAAGTGTTTATTCCTTTGCTTTCTTCTTTATGAATCTGTAAAAGCTTATAAGTAATTTGTTTAATAGTTTAAACTTGCATTGTAATTAGAAATATATTTTTTAGGGGCGCCTGGGTGGCTTAGTCGGTTAAGCGTCCAACTTTCGCTTAGGTCATGATCTCGCAGTTCGTGGGTTCGAGCCCCGCGTCGGGCTCTGTGCTGACTGCCAGCTCAGAGCCTGGAGCCTGTTTCAGTCTGTGACTCCCTCTCTCTCTGACCCACGCTGTCTCTCTCTCTCTCTCTCTCCCCTAGAAATAAATAAAAATATTAAAAAAAAAAAAAGAAATATATTTTTTAAATGTTCCTTTTGTTTACTGATAATCACAGTAACTTAGCAATATGTTATAAAGCTGCAGCTAAATTTTACTTTTTAAGATTCTAAAACACAGGATTTTATGGGGGAAAGATAAAATGCTTAAAATGTATTCAAGGGGCACCTGGGTGGCTCAGTTGGTTGACTATCTGACTCTTGATTTCAGCTCAGGTCATGATCCTAATGTCATATGATAGAGCCTCACATTGGGCTCTGCAATAACAGCCAAGGATTCTCTCTTCTCTCTCCGCTCCTCTCCTGATCACTCTCTCTCTCAAAATAAATAAATATACTTAAAAACAATAAAAGAAAATGTTTTCAAGAGAAAAATCTGCACTTCTGTATATTGTTTATTATCTTGCCAAAGGGCTGACCTTCTATCAGGTAGGAATGGATTTTTAAAATAACGATCTAGCTTGTTCCATAGACGAACTTGGTGTTCCAAGAAAAGGAGGGTAATGACCATGAAATAAGTAATTAATGTGCACTAAGCTTCCAGGTTTTCCTTATATTTCTTATTGAAATTGACATCTTATTAGAAGGACACACACACATTATGCATAATGTGCATACAGCATATATCTACATTGAAAATCAAGAAGGGTTTTCCAGGTCATCATACACTCAGACATCAAATACAAGCTACCAATTGATAAAGTCATGATAATAAATAATTTCCTTAATTATGGGGAGTTCAGAACTAGACTGATGTCTCATTTCCTTCTTTAGGACTGAATCGCGTGCCCCAGTTCCTTTCCACAAGCTACACGTGATGTGGGTCACGGTTACTGATTCTTTCAGGAACGCTGGCCAGGAAGGAGAAACTAGTTCCTGCAAGCCCTTGGGCATGAGCCAAGTCATGTGACAAATCTGGGGTCCATGTCAGGTCACACAGAAGACAAGTAATTCCTTCACTACAAATGCAAAGGCTGCTCACACAAAGAATGAGGATGTAGTTTCCTTCCTAATGGAGCTGTAAGTGGTCAGTGTTCTTACTTCAAAACTTATTTTCAACGTTCAGTTCTCATCTACTTGGTCCCAGGCACTCTCGACATACAACCAGAGATGGCGCTGTTCCTGCCTTTAGGAAGCTCATTCCTATGCTACCTTCTAACCTTTAATTTCAGCAAACTCTTAAATGTAATGGGTGCCTTGAGTTTCTATGTTCCAGACCCCATTTCCAGAAGAATGCAAAATAAACTTGTAAAAAATATGCCATATAGACCACGTTAAGTTGTGTTTTTCTCACCTAGGGTTGTAAAAGTGTCACAAAATTTTGGCTGATACAAAGTCATGTATTTTCTCGTCACTGACATAAACTTGTATGTAGAGGGAATGCTTCATGCAGAGGAACGCACATTACCTGCAGAGCGCGTACCAAAGAGTGAAGCACTGAGTGTTAAAAGGAAAAAAGTGGAAAAAGAAGAGGGAAATACATGAAGAAGGAGAAGTAAAAATGACAACTCTGGCTGTGACCGGTCTCTCAGCTGAACACAAAAGCTGGTGCAGGTGGCCAAGGGCCAAGGGAGACAGGCTTCTCCTTCTACCTCTGCCGTTCCGTGTGCTCAGCCCGCACGAGGGCAGATGCCCTGAGGGAGAAGGTCCAGCCGTAGCGCCATGGATTATGAGGACAACTATGGATGCAGGTAAAAAAGACAGAGTGGTGATTCTTGGGGAGTGGCAGAGGAAATGTCACAATTACCTAAGATGTCACGAGATTTTACCGTTATTTCGCACTGAGTTGAAGTTTGGTGCAGTTTAACATAGCCCATGACAGAAATAATTTGAGATGCACACTGATGTTATCTACCACATCCTCATCTGAAGTTAATGAGCCTCACTTCGAAAAATATTGAGACAGGTTATTTTGATGACCTTGTTGTGAGAAGCTTGCAGATTTACAGACTCAGAAGACAACCAATATTAAGGTTATCATTTCCCCTCAGAGAGCAGCAGATCTTAATAATACAAATGTAAACATGCCGACAAATGTAAACATGCTGACAAATGTTAAAAATAGTAATTAGAAATGATCCCCGTTGATTTGTTCTTCTAATGATTACATCATTCACTTTAGGTAAGTGGCCAAAAAGAACCTTCCAGATTCTACCTAATCCAGTCAATCTTTTACAGGGACACACTGTAACTTCATCAACTGTTCATTTTGTAATATATAACCTTCTAAGAAGTAAACAATCTCCAGGTCACTTTTCTGCATATAGTTGGAATGCAGTGTTAATGTACACATGCCCTAAATGAGTGCTATTTAAAACTACTGACCTTCAAGAAGATGAGTCAAGTGATGTTTAATTCATCATGACATTTTTTAGGAAATTACAGAAAATTTCTTAGTTTAAATACAATATTGAGCTATAAGGACACTTGTTTCAGGCAAATCTGCCTTGGAAAGCATTCTATACTGTATTATTTTTTTAAAAGAAATTTTGCATTGAATATATTGCAAGGCTAGCAAATGAGATCTGAAGTGCATTTATGATTTTATTCAACAAAAGCCTTAAACATGGGAAACTTGAATAGCACCCCATACTTATGATAGCTGGCTCTCATATGTATTTGCACACGCACATGCAAGAGTGTATATACACACATGTTATAATAGTAGTAGCTTTAAGTCTGGGACACATTATGTCCAAGACCCTGTATATGTTTGCAAACATTAGCCCATTTAAGCCTCACAACAAGGTGGCCTTTCTAACTCATGTTATAAGAAAGTAACTTGACAATTTATATATAACTAATAAGTACTGGCACTGAGGTTTGATACCAAAAGTCTACAGACTTTATTATTTTTTTAATTTATTTATTTTGGAGAGAGAGAGACAGCGTGAGCAGGGGAGGGTCAGAGAGAGAGGGAGACACAGAATCTGAAGCAGTCTCCAGGCTCTGAGCTAGCTGTCAGCACACAGCCCAATGTGGGGCTCGAACCCACGAACCGTGAGATCTTGACCCGAGCCGAAGTCTGATGCTTAACCGACTGAGCCACCCAGGCGCCACAAAAGTCTATGGACTTTAAAGCCCTAGGTTTTTCCCCACCATGCTCTAGAACGTCCCTGATTCTTAGTGGGAGAGTCTTGACAGTGGGGTAAGAAGGCAGCGGGAAAGCATCTGGGTCTGGAAGGCATGGGATGAAATTGAACTTCACCTACACTATACTTTGGCTGTGTTCATATGGTTATTCACACATATTTCTCATCATCTAAAAGGCAGTTTTTACAAACTCCTTCAAGCTTCTATTAAATTCTGTGACTCTTAGAAGAGCCAGTGTCCATTCCACAATGCCAAAAAGAAAAGCCTCTAACAAATGCAGCTCTGCGTAAAAATACAAACCTCAAGGACTGAAGTTCTGGTAAACTATGCATTCATTCACAAACATTTATGGAGTTCCTGCTATCAATGTAAAAATGAATAAGGCTTGATCTCTAACCTCAAGGAGTTTACATGGATATACAGCCCTCATGTAATTTTTGCAATTATTTGCAATGTTTTTTGCAAAATACATTTTTCTACAATGCATTTACTGAAAACTGACAACCTTCATGTCACCCTTTATTTCTGTCATGGTTAAAATGAGGATGCCTGATATATATAGCATCAAAATATATAAATATAATCTGAATGTCCAAACTTGAGGAACTGGTTTAGTAAGTTGTTATAAGTATGCAATGGAATATTACACAAAATTAAGAATGGTGTATTAATGCTATATCTGTACTACTGAGTAAAACAAAATCAACAAACATATATGTAGTACAGTCTCACTTTCGTGAGATATGATAATACATATTTAATTTAAGCTGAAGGCCTGGAAAGATATTCACCAAAGTCTTCATAGTGGTTATCCCTGGACGTTGACATCATAGGGAATTTTAGATTTTTTTCTGTGTGCTTATTTGCAGTTTTTGTCTTTTTAATTAAGTTCACATAATATTTAACTTTTATAAAAATTTTTCAGATTAAATTTAATAAAGATTAAATCCTGGATATAAATGCAATCCTCAGTTTTTATTTTCAGACTCAGAAAGTTGAAGAAGGACAGTGTGTGCATTAAGAAGAAAGTCAGGGCGCCTGGCTGTCTCAGTCCATTAAGCATCTGACTCTTGCTATCAGCTGCGGTCGTGATCTTGTAGACATGAGATCAAACTGAGCGCACCCTGCTTGGGATTCTCTCTCTCTGTCTCTCTTTCTGCCCCTTCCCCCTCTCAAAATACATAAATAAACTTAAGGGAAAAAAAGAAGAAAGCCATCACAGGAATATGCATGATAGTAAGTGCTTATTGAATGCAAAATATTCATGATGGAAAAATTAAGAATTTGATCACTCCAGAAAGGCCAATGTTATTTTTTTTTAAATTTTTTTTTTAATGTTTTTATTTATTTCTAGGAGAGAGAGAGAGAGACAGCGTGAGCAGGGGAGGGTCAGAGAGAGAGGGAGTCACAGACTGAAACAGGCTCCAGGCTCTGAGCCGGCAGTCAGCACAGAGCCCGACGCGGGGCTCGAACCCACGAACTGCGAGATCATGACCTAAGCGAAAGTCGGACGCTTAACCTACTAAGCCACCCAGGCGCCCCAATGTTATTTTTTTAAACATTTTTAAAATTTTTATTAATTCTTAATTTTAGAAAGAGAAGGAGAGAGAGAGAGAGAGAGAGGTGGAGAGACAGAGGGAGAGAGAGAATCTTAAGCAGGCTCCACGCCCAGCTGGAGCCTGATGTGGGGCTTGATTCTATGACACTGGGATCACGATCTAAACCAAAATCAAGAGTTAGGCGCTCCACCAACTGAGCCACTCTGGCTCCCCAACCCAATGATATTTTTTTTTTAAAAAGGTTCATGCCATTAAGCCATCAGTTTTTATTATATAATTTCATCATAAATTATGATCATCAAAAATTATCATAAATTATGTATGCAGAAATTATGTTCCCTTAGAAATATAAAACAAACTTTGGAAGCCTTTAGAATCAGATTGTGTTTAAATACTGACTCCAGCCCTTTACAGTTCTGTGAACTTGGGCAAACCACTTAATATCATCTTCCCAAACTGTAAAATGCGGGGGGGCAGGGGAGAGGCTAACTTCATGATGGTGTTGGGAGGCTGAAAACAAACCATCTGGTTCAATGCCTGGTTGAACACATTGGTCCACACAATAGATGGTAGTTATTACTGTTTTTTGTTATTACTTTTAGCCTTCATCACTTAACTGTGAAATGAACAATATCCTACACTGAATTGGAACTACATATAGGTTTACACATTAAACAGTGCAAGAAGCACCCATCAAGCATAACCACTATGTTTTTATTCTATGAAAATGGATTCTTTCCATCATTTGGTATTTGGTGAATGAGAGCTTTACTTTAGCCCAGCAATGGAGGTAAAGACTTGTTACTTCTTTCATGAGCTCAGAGTCCAGTGGGGGTGGGGGGGAGATGAATAAATAAACAGACAATGGTCATACTGTGGCAACTGCTGTGTACTTTGGATGCGCAGAACATAGGAGCACTTGGGCACAGACACAACTCCAGATAAGCGTCATTGATTTTGTATTTTATGAGGATGGCACCTTCATGAGTGCACAGTCCAATGCCAGGGCCACAGCAGACTTGATAAGGATGGAGACAGAGTGAGAGATGGCTCCCCCGTGGATGCAAAGTCTGCTGGAGTCTTGAAGGATAAGGAGGAGAGAAGCAAGTGAAGACAGCGGGGGGGGGGGGGGGGGGGGGGGGGGGGGGGGGGGGGGGGGGCAGGGGGAGGGGGTGGAACAGCATGTGAAGTGTAACCTAGGAGAACATGGTCTTCCATCCTGAGGGAATGTCCAAGAGTTCAGTACAAGAAAAGGAAGCAAGAGGCGGGGAGTAATCGCTAAGACGCCTAAGTGCTAAACGGGACCTACCATGTAACGATGAATGGTTTGGGTTTTATTCTAAAAGCAATGGGGGGGCGACTGAAGAGTTTTTATTTATTTTTTAACTTTTATTTATTATTGAGAGACAGAGAGAGACAGAGCATGAGCATGGGAAGATCAGAGGGAGGGGGAGACACAGAACCTGAAACAGGCTCCAGGCTCTGAGCTATCAGCACAGAGCCCGATGCGAGGCTCGAACCCACGAATTGTGAGATAATAACCTGAGCCAATGTGGGACGGTTAACCGAATGAGCCACCCAGGTACTCCTGAAGAGTTTTAATAAAACACAACTGACAAGAGTACACAGTAAATAAAAATCGTATTTACTTAATTCGTTATTTGGTACATTGTATTTTCTAAAAGGAGATGGTTAAATCTAGGATTTCCCCCCTAATCAATTGTCTATTATTTACCAGACAGAATGTTATAGTATTATTTACTATTGCTGGTAGAAATGTAATGAGATTTCCTCCCTTTGAGGCAATTTAATTAGAAATTTATTGTCACGTTAAGTGTAGCTATTCATCACTGTTGTTTTGGGCTCTGTTTTGTTGTTGATGTTAAGGGATATGCAATTCTCACAAACAGTACATTAAAACATGTAATGGTTTTTTAAAAACATGCTTTTTTAATGCTCATCTTCAAAAGAAGATGATTATTAGATTAATATTTTAGATGGCCAAAAATTCATTGTATGGCTGAGATCAAAGAAAGCCATGTACTTGGAAATGTTTTAAGTCCTCAAAGCTAAAGGCCACGTCACCTATTTCTTTCATCAACCAGTACACTATCAGTGTAAAGTGAAAAGGAAAAGTCAGTAGATGCAACTGATTATGTCCTCTGGACATTTTCAAAGGCTGCTGACTGTTGTGTCAACTTCAAAAGACACAAAGGGCACTCTGGGGACTTTGCCCTGGAGTTCTCTCCATTGCTTGCGCCGGACTAACTTCTTTTCCCCAAAAGAAGGAACCCAGGGGGAAGATTCCCTTTTTAGTCATTAATAATTCAGTGCATTTGCTTTCAATCCCTACTGTGTGCTATGCCTGTCCCCTGAAGCTACCAACACAAAGATGGGCACCTTAAAACCCAAATCATGCAGCAAGACTCAGCTCAAATGGCATTCTCTTGCAGAGGCTCTTGACCACCCCAGCTAGCAGTGATCTCGAGCTCTGCACACCATGGCTTCTTAATCATTCATTTCCTCCAGCTCTTAGCACAGGCAAATACCATGAAGTGAATTTGGAAGTGTGCATGTGGCTTTGCTATCTATTACCGTGTGTTTTAGAAAATTCACTTTCCTTATTGAATCTCAGTATTTCGCATCTGCAAAACAGGGTTATTCATGTGTGGAGGAACAGCTAGTTTTAAATGCTACTTTAAAGTGCGGTGCCTGAGATTCAGAGAAGTTAAACAGCTTACCTAAAGCAAGAGAGCTAATAATCAAATATTTCTAAATATCTAAGTCTTGTATATTTTCCAGTATTCCACAATTACCTCCTACAACATAACAACTGTAAAAGTAGTAGAAAAATTATATTTCAACACATACCTGCTTCATGAATCTCTTCCTTTCCAGTATATGAGGAAAACACCTGCCTAGAGAACTTGTATTGTTGTTCTCGAAAATTATTTTGTAAGTAGTCCATCAGCATGACATAGCCAGACTGTTGCATTGTAAGAACTTCACAAAAAACAGCCAACTGGGGAAAAGATCATTTAACATATAATTTTACGTATCTGCTTCAAAGGTACCTGTAAGTGCTTTAACATAGATATTCAGTAGTAAATCTTAGAAACTATTTTTAAATTGCTTCCAATGACTGTATTTGTTTGAACTTCCAAGATTACCTGGCTTTCAGAGATGCTGACTGTGTCTTTAAAAATAATCCAGTCAACAGTGTCTGTGCAGGGAGGAGATGTCAGTGAGCCGTTGTACGCGTAATACTTGTCAGTTGAGTTTGGCAGAAGGTTCAGCAGTATGAAGGGATCTAACGCAGCCTGTTTCCCTACAAAGTAACAACATGGATCTCAGTTGGCATCTCCACACTGGAACTTAAGTAACAACATGTATCTTAGTTGGCATCTCCACACTGGAACTTAGCGGTTCAAAGCTTCTAGGAAACAGAGGCCTATGGTTTGTTATCAATTTAATCAGAGTTGGAATTTTAATACTATTTTAGATATATTTCAAAAATGGTGATAAAACTGACACAGCTACATAGGGCTAAAGGTTTCTTTATACTAGCAAGACGCTGGAGAGATTATTTTACATATAAAAGATACTCAGAAATCCTATAACCATCTTAATAGATATGGCAAAATCATTTGAGAAGACTTAATACCAGTTTGTATAAAACAAAAACATAACCTCATTCTGGTGAAGATTATCTTCAAAAGCCTATAACAAACATTGTATTTAAGGATGGCCCATTGAGAAAGCTTTCCCCTAGAGATAAAGAAGGAGACAGAAACAGCCTGCTATCACCGTGTCTGGTTAACATTGAATGGGAAGACTGGGCCAGTGCAATAGACAAAACAGTCATCAAGATTGGATTTGAAGAAATGATACCATCATATTTTGAAAATACATGATTGTGCATGTACAATATTGGATTTACAAATTGTTAGCATTAACAAGTGCATTTAGTAAGTTCACTGTACATAAGACCAATATACAAAAATTATATTGCTATGTATCAGTATGAAGCAATAGAAAATGCAATTTAAAACAATATAATAACAACAAAATATCAAATACTCACAGGTAAATCTAACAAATGATGTGTGCAACATCTATATTAAGAATTACAAAGCTTTCTTGAGAGAATTAGATAAAAATTAAAGTTATGGGAAATATCAAGTTCATGGGTTGGAAGAGTTTGTATTGTGAAGGTATTGACTGTCCCCAAATTGATTTATGGAGTCAAAAAATCTTATAAAAACCTCAGAGACTTTTGTACACATGTGTTTTAGACAGCATGTGTTTACTGACATACTGATTTTAAAATTTAAATGGAAATGAAAAGAAAAGTTAAAACAATCTTGAACAATAACAGATGCTGTAGGACTTTCATTACCAGGTATGAAGACCTATTTTATAAAACTATAGAAGTCATGATAGTGAAATATTCATGCAAAGGCAGACAAAGAGAACAGTGAAAGATAAAAGAGAACCCAGATCCATACATATATAGTCACTGTATGTATGTCATTTTTTTACTTTAGGACAGGAAAAATTACTACGTAGTTGGAATGGATTGCCTTTGCAGTAAAGAGTGCTGTATCAATTGGATATCCTAATGGAAAAAAGTGAGTCATGGATTCCCTACTTCACATCTTCAGCACAATTAGTTCCAAAAGACAGTAGATCTAAATGTGAACAGAATAGTAAAATCTTTAGAAGAAAACAAAATGCTCTTTATAACCTTAGGGTAGGCTGAGGTTCCTGAAATGGCACACAAAAAGTGTTAATTATAAAGGGGAAAATGATAAATTTTAGCACATGATAATTAAGATCTATTTATCAATATTTATTTATCTATTTATCAATAGTCACTATTAAGGAAATAAATGGTAAAACAAAGAGTGTAAAGTATATACATATATGTGTGTATATGTGTGAGTGTGTGTGTGTGTGTGTGTGTGTGTGTGCATATACAATCCTATTAAGAATTTGGCAGGGCCGCCTGGGTGGCTCAATTGGTTAAGCATCTGACTTTGGCTCAGGTCATGATCTCATGGGTTCTCAGGTTCAAACCCCGCATCGGGTTCTGTACTGACAGCTCAGAGCCTGGAGCCTCTTTCAGATTCTGCGTCTCCCTCTCTCTCTGCCCTTCCCTCACTAACTCTCTCTCTCAAAAATAAATAAATTACAAAAAAACATAATAAAAAAACCAAATTTCATAGAGCTTTCCTAAGAGGTACATCTGGCCTTACGACTCTCAAACAATCCAATTATATCTGTCCCTGTGATCATCCCATTTTTGCTTTTGGACCTTTCCAACGGCACTTGTCAATAGCCATTCAGCTCTCTGCGTACCAGCCCTCGCTCATATAGGCAGCAATCTGCTTACCAGTGAGATCAGTGTCTAGCTTCCTATCCCATCCTAACTATCTAACCCAATGTATACATGCCCTCTGTTCTTTCTAGTAGACTTAGGTCATTAAGAAGTAGCTCCCGAAACCAGTCATAGTGAGGTGGCACAGTGCAGAGCAGTAGTTTTGTCAGACTAGGCAGTTAGATAAGACAGGAGGGGGGAGTAGGAGAATGACGATGGGCAATTGCCAGAAACCACAAGGTCTCCACCCAGAGTCCACCCCATCTCCCTCAGACCAAGCCCTTTTGCGGTACAGCACAGACCTATAAGCAGAAGATAGGTGCAGCAGGGACGGCCTTCACTTTGGAGCATGCGCACTTAAGAAAGACCCTGTCCGCTAGCAACCTTGAGGCTATTATAATATCATTAAAATATCACTAGCATTGCGGTCAGGGCCCACCCCGCCATGGGTTGCACTTGGGCACTCAGGGACAATGACTAAGACAAACTTGCAGGAAAAGTTGTAAGGGAGGAAACCAAGGCAGTTCCAAGAGTAAAGCGATAACGAGAAGATGGGAGGGAAGGGAACAAGTAACTCCCCATAAAGGAACACAATGAGAAACACAATGGCGCGTTGCCATCCATCCTTGGGTCAGCCGGCTCCTCTGTCTCTGGAGTGTACTATCTATCACTTTTTGCTTTAAAAAAAAAAAAAAGCCTTTGCTACATTAACTGTCTATCAGGTCTTTGGACTAAATGCTTTGAGAAGATGAGAACTGAGGAATTCCACAATCTAGAGCCTGGGAACAGTTTCACCCTTTATTCGAATAATCTGCGGAACTTTAAAAAAGTACTAGTATTGCAGACCCCACCCTAGCCCACTTTAACTTACATCTCTAGCAATAGGGCATCTGGATTTTCAAGACGGCATCCGCAGCTGATTCCAACATGCAACCACCAATGAAAACCCAAAGCAGAGTGAAGGCTTTGCAAGATGTTAGGATTTTGAACCCACTTTCCACATTATAAAATAAAATGACCGATCTAGATTTTTTAAATAATTTATTCTGTCTCTAAACTCTGTGAAGACCAGACATATACAGAAAGCCTCAAAGAAAAAAAAATTCCATTTAAAAATTAAATTACTGAATGCTAATTTTTCTACAATCCAGAAACTTTTTAAAGAAGGAGAGATGTGGTAATCAGTAAAGTTATAGATAACTGCTTCCATTATGAATTTAAGACCGACTGTTAGAAATGAAAATCTGCTTGGCTGAACAGATACCTAAATCTAGTTTTAATCTGTTAGAAAATTCAAGTTATGCTTGGTTTAATGGGTTAATTAATAATCTTCTTCTCTAATATTAAGATGAGATGATGAGAATTTAGACTTGGATTCAAGTTCTCTGAAACTGAGGAAAATATTTTTAATATGTGAATGTTTCCCACTTTCAGAATTATGCTTTTAATCTCTGAAAACTGTTTTGAGTAAATAACCTCCTTCTTAATCATCATGGGCTACAATTGTTTCTTTTTTTCTGCTGAAGGTGAAATTTATCTTACAAATGTTCTGTGCAAATGTGGATGTGCAGAATACTAATTAAGTAAGGAGCCAAACACTGACTCACTGCTAAATTAGGTGGGAAATGAAATGACACCAGGAGAGCCACAGGCCAGAAAAGGAAGAAAAGAAGGGAGATCTGAATAGGGATGGTGAAACAGAGAATTTTCTTGAAATGCTAACTGTTGCATAAGCACCTCACTCTCGGTTTGGGCTCAGCTCATGATCACATGATTTGAGGGTTTGAGCCCCGCACTGGGCTCTGTGCTGACAGCACAGAGAGGGCTTGGGATTCTCTCTCTCTCTCTCTGCCGCCCCCCCTCAATAAATAAATAAACTTTTAAAAAATGTTATTTACATCCATGTCCTAAATTTCTGTCTTGGATATCACAGGACTTCAATTACAGTAGAGGTTTTCTTTCTTCTTCTTCTTTTTTAATGTTCATTTATTTTTGAGAGAGAGAGACACAGAGCATGAGTGGGGGAAGAGCAGAGAGAGACACACACACAGAATCCGAAGAGGCTTCAGGCTCTGAGCTGTCAGCACAGAGCCCGACGTGGGGCTAGAAGTCACTAACCGTGAAATCATGACATGAGTCAGTGGGACTCTCAACCCACTGAGCTATCCAGGCGCCCCAGAGGTTTTCAATTAGACAACCATCTTTTGAGAAAACTGGAATAAGGCCATTTTTTGAGTATGTGCCTAGCAAAAACAGGTGCTTCATCTGAATCACTTCATTATTGTTAACACAAGTGAGAATCACAGCTGAGTCAATTTTGTTGTATTTGTGATCATTCATTCTATCATTATTCATTTAAGCACATACTGGTGATTAACCAATCAATCCGATCTATAGGAAGTCAATAGTAAGAGGCGGAAGATGAGTAGGGAGAGAGATTAGGAGATAAAGACCACAACAGGGTCATGCACTGGGGAAGGACATTACAAATTTAAAACCAACTCTTACTACTTAGGACAGTAAGATGGTGCCATGTCAACACGGCTTGCAGAGGACTTTTCAATATACAAATTCCTGGGCTGAATTTGTGATTAAGAAAGCACCACAAGCCATTCTAATGACAACTCCCACTTGAAAGTCACTGATGATGTTACCTGGGGTGTGTCCCTTCCTTTGCATTTTGGAAGAGCTCAACCAACACTTCTGTCTTTTTGTGGGGTCTGCTTGGGGAATATTAATATGCTATCTTCGTAAATTGATGCAGTCTCCCCCTCTGTCTCTCCCTCCAAGGGTAGAACAATGCCTGACGTAGAGCAGGTATGGTGGAAGGAAGGGGAAGAAAGAAAGGTAGGAATGAGGGAAGGAAAAGGAAATGGGTTTGTCCTTTAGGGAGGAATATAGGAAATGAATCTTCAGCCCGCATTGGAATAAGATAGAGTTTATAATCTCAATGATGGTTGAAAGTGTTGTTTCTTGAATAACCAACGTTATATAAGGAATATGGAGCAGGATTTAGGAGTTGAGCTTCAGTTCCAGAGTCACTGTCCACAAAAAAGCGCTGCCTTCAGTCCTCTAGGTTCTCAGCAGCCATGGCTCAGAGCCAGTATTGGGGAGCCTCCCGTCTATTGGGCATGGGGGTTTTCTAGACTCGGAAATAGATTTAATCTAAGAGGTCTCAAAATAGAATCCATTTACCTTTAGGAGGACTTAACTTATTTAGCTTGTACAGATCATATCTAATAACCATTCAAATCAAACTGACATGTTTCATACATGTCCTAAAACGTAACTGATACAAATCTCCACAGTATAGTGGAACAAGCTTTGTGGACAGAGCTGGATCGAGATTCTGGCTCTACCACTTACCAGCTGTATTAGCTTAGGTGTCTTTGCCGAATATATGGAAATATTATGTATCTGGCGGGTGAGGTGACGCACACAGAGGATTTTATTTTTCGGTTAAAGAGGGGAGAAGAAGTCAGTGCACAAGTAGCAGGGTAGAGAGAAAGAAAATAGAGTAATGGAGGGCAGATTAGGATGTGTCTCCAGGCAGTCGGAGAGACTATCAGTTCTGCTTCCGCATTACGAGCCAGGATACGGCCAGAATAGTGCTGCTGGGAATCCATCTTCTCAAGGAAGCTGTTATGTGGCTGTGACGAAGCACCCCCCTCAATGGCTGATGGATAATAAATACTGAAAAGGAAATCTTAGCCACAGAACATGAGCAAACAGGTTCTTACGCTCATATGATCCTCACATGACCCTTCTAGAGCCCTGGAAATAACTGAAGAATTGTCCAGAAAAAGAGGCCAAAACACCGCAGCGACACAAGTTAGGACTAACAACCCAGTGTGAACATCACTCTTGTTGGCCCCACAGGCTGACATAAGGCCTGGGGACATTCCGAGTTCAGTGCAGGAATTCGAAGGTGCTGCCTTCTTTCAGTCTGGATAGAATCCACTTTCTGACTAAATGAGGGAAAAATTAAGTGTGGCTTATGGCATTCAACATTGAATTTTGCAATGTCGGTGGATGGAAGGAGATAACTTCATCTTGCATCTGACTGCACCTTTCACACACACACAAAAACCAAACCCCAAAACCAATGAAAGCTGCACTGCGTGAGTTCACATATTCCTGACTTCTGAAAAGTTCTGTCACTTAAGGTCCTCACATGTGACTGACAAAGATGAATCAATCCTAGGCCCAGCTCTTGCTTTCAAAAAGGATCTATATGAATTCTGTTCCTGGTTTCAAGATTTTGCAGCTTCCCAGAGAGGAATAATCCTTATTTTGTTGATAACTCAGGACAGCATTAATCCCTTGTATCTGGATGCTTCCTAAAAATACAATAGCAATAATAACTGGTTTGCTGTCGTGCTGATGTTGTTACAAGCATTTGCTGTGACAAATGACAAGATGCATGAGCTAGCAGGCAGAACAATGAAGCAAGCATACGGCGTCTTTTTCTAGGTAAGTGTTTGCCTTCTTCCAAAACCCCTGTCATACTGGTAAAACAAAGGACCCATCAAGGAAACAACCAGGGAATAAATCTGTACTTGAGTAACAACTGTCTTTTCACTTTAAAACATGATTTTTATAACACTAGCTGGTTTCAGATTATAAGTTAGAGTCTTTACCAAATGTACAAGGCAGACAGAATAGATAAATACATTTTAAATGCATGACGTAATTAGATTATTTTCAAGAATAAAATTAGAAAACTTTAACTTCCTCCTTATATTAACATCTTGTGATTTTTATATGACAAAAAATTCGGATAAAATGTTCTTTAGTGAGACACGTATAAATCATCAAGTGAGAATGGGAAGATTGCTCCTCTTTGAAAAGGTCTTTCCTTCTTCCTTTTGGAACAAGTGACCTTTGTAATACTATAAAAATTCATATGCATCCAAAGTAGAATCTGGAATTAAGAGATTTCTCCAAATAGCTTACCAAAACGGCTAACTCTCTCGACTCCATCAATAATTGCTTTGTAATCCAAATTTTCTTCTATTCCAATCTATTAAAGAAGAATGACATTCTAAGAGTGGGATAAAATATTTGATTAGCTCTTCAATAAAATGAAAAGGTACGTGAAATCCATTTTAGGTATCCAAAAGTAAGTCCTCCAAATGCATACTTTCTTTTTTTCACAGCAAGATAAAAACAGATAAAACAAACAAAACACCAGTTGCTTTTTCAATTTTCCACTGAGAAAAGTACACTTTAAAATGTTGATTCACAGTCACTGCTCTATCACTATGATGCTTTGCAAACACACACACACAGGCGAATCTGTGCACTCCCTGAACGGGTTCCCCCCCTGGTAGTGATGCACCCCGTTAATGAATGCAAGAGTCCCTTTCTAAACACCTCAGTCAAGGCGTTCTGCCAGTTGGCATCCCACTTGCAAGCTCTTCTATTTGTTAAAAAGCACGCTTTGAAATGTCACATCAATTATTTCATGCGATTAAGGGATTAAGGTAGTGTTAAATCGATGTATAATGATTACCTCAAATAAAATGGATAAAGCTCTTAACTTCCCTTTTCCTTTTACCGCTTCCTCAAAACTTGAAAATCGGTCTGCATCAAAGCAGTAGATTTGCATCTGTAAAGGTAACAATGACAGCTTTATTATATACAAAGACATCATAAAAGTTACCAAAGAGACAATAAAATGGTTTCCCGACTCAATATCCTATTTGAAAAATTCTGTAAACTGTATAATTCGATACTCTCTATAGTTTCAAGATATTTTATCAATTACATGCATATACAACTGCATTTATTCTCACTTCTCATTTTTCAGTGAGGAAAGAAACACAGTTAGATATATCTAGGATGGAAATGACCACCTTGAGATTACTAGGGAATACTGAGGTAATAATACCCTAGAACAATCATCGTATGGAATAAATTATCAAATGTTACTTTACCTATTTTGCTGGAATTCTTTGGAATATCATTTCATTCTCTCTTGACTGGATGTGCCTTTCCTGATGGTCTGGGTTACCTTTTTTGGACATTATCATACTATGATAGTGAACTCTCAAGGACTTTCTGCTTCTACATACAAAATACCAGAAGAATTTTAAGTTCTTCGTTTTAAGTGTCCTCTCCTGCTGTCAGGTGATCTTCCTTGTTAATTTCCACTTCAACCCCTGTGTTTGTGGACAACGGCCTCTACTCTCACTTATAATTGGGTGTTCCCCATATCATGAGCTTAGAAATCAGGTAACTTAGCTAGTTTGGAAGAATAATTCAGGGAAGAACAGAAAGACTCTATGAAGACTACTGCTTGGTTAGGGCTATCACTGGAGAGACAGCAGGTATGGGGTGAAGGATGGCAGTGGTGCTGCCTTGGGTCGTGACCACAAAGCCTTTGAGGAGTCTAACTAGTTAGACCGAGTCAGGTTCACCTGACTCCTGTAGGATGAAAGCTTACAAACTGACAGATGAAAAGGAGGGGCAGGCGGCAGCCACACCAGGCACAGCTGTAAGGCGGTCCCAGCCCTTTGCTCCGGGGAGCAACAGAGAATCCCAACTTCACCTAACAGGGCTTGGGGGGCAGGAGGGCTGGAAGGAAGATGGTGAAGAGTAGAAAAGATTAAGACTAGAAAGAGGGAGGGGCACCTCGGTGGCTCAACTGGTTAAGTATTTTGAATGGCCAACTCTTGATTTCGGCTCAGGTCACGATCTCACAGTTTCTGAGATGTAGTCCTGAGTCGGGGCTCCATGTCATGGGGCCTGCTTGGGATCTTCTCTCTCCCTCTCTCTCTGTCCCCCTCTCTTTGTGTGCATGTTCTCTCCCTCTCTCTCTTCCCCCCCCTCTAAGACAAATAAACATTTTAAAAAATTAAAAAAAAAAAGACTAGAGACAGGTGGTTTGAGCTTTCTTCTGCCCTCCCACATCACATAGGAAGAAGAAAATGAGAAAACTTCATTGTAGGATGCAAGAAACCAGGAAAAAAAAGACTAAGTCAAGGATGCTCTGGGTTTCCCTGCTTGCACAATTACATGGAGAGAGTTTAAAAGAGACAAGTAACAAACAAACAAGCCATCTGAGAGGCAACTCAAGGGCATTCTAAATAAGACAAATATTTGAGGTTTAATGCACAGATTCTATACCATTTATTTTGCTGGTTCAGGGCTTTCGTTGCTGTTAGGGTCTTTCTTGAGTTTCTGCTTTGCTCTAAATAAGCAGTGTAGTGACAGAGCTAATCCAAAGTGAGAATGTTATGTGTTTAATAAATGGACTTTCATTTCTTCGACAAACCAACTTTGATGACTGTGCTTTTCCTTAAGGATATTTAATATATTTGAAAAACACGAACTTATAAGCGATGAATTAGAATGTGCTTATCCAAAGTAAAATATTTTGAGTCCTTCAAGAGACAATTTACTCATCTTATTTTTACTATCAATAACTATTTTGACCATAAAAGTAATATAGTTACATTGTAAGTAATTTTAGAAATATGGGAATTTTAAAGGAGAAAAGCAAAGGCACCCAGGGAAAATCCCTGCTTGTGTCTTCTGGGTTTCCCTCAGTTATTTTTACAACAGTCATAATTCCTTTTCTTATTTAATCTTTGTAATAACTTCATAAGGCAGGTGCTACTACTCTTATATCAATTTTTCAGGGGAGACATGAAACTTAGGTAAATTAAATATTTGTACAAAGTCGTGTCTATAACTCATATCTAAATGGTGAAGTCAGTATTCTAACCTAGTCATATGACTCAGAGTCTGGGCCCTCAGTCACTATTTAATTAGTTTTCATGTTTTACAAAATCAGAGTAATAATATTGTACATACTATTTTATATTCTGCTTTTAAAAAGCATTAATATCTTAAAAAAGAAAAATGCATTGTATCTTACAATGAACCTTTTTTTTGTGTAAATAAATCATTCAAACGCATGATTTTTATAAGATCTGTAATACAACATCATAATGTATTTAATCATTTCCTTCTCTTTCACCTTTTTGTTACTGTCAATAAACCTTTGCACATACATTTTTGAGTATGGCTTTACTTTTTATTTTTTTATTTTTATTATTTTTTTAATGTTTTATTTATTTCTAGGAGAGAGAGAGAGACAGCATGAGCAGGGGAGGGCCAGAGAGAGAGGGAGTCACAGACTCTGAAACAGGCTCCAGGCTCTGAGCTGGCAGTCAGCACAGAGCCCGACGCGGGGCTCGAACCCACGAACCGCGAGATCATGACCTGGGCGAAAGTCGGACGCTTAACCGACTAAGCCACCTGGGCGCCCCTGGCTTTACTTTTTAGATTAAACTGTTACAAGTGGAAATTGTAGGTATTGGGATTGAAACATTTAAAATTCCAGGTAGAGAGGCACCTGGCTGGCTCAGTCAGTAGTCTATGCGGCTCTTGACCTTGGGGTTGTGAATTCAAGCCCCACTTTGGGCATAGGGATTGCTTAAATAAATAAACTTAAAAATAAAACCTTTCAAAGTTCTGGATAAAAAGAAGCGAGCTGCTTCCTAGTCTACCAATTTATACTCTCTCCAGACATGTATGAAAGTGTTCATTTTACTGCACACCCATTATTTTTTTAATTTTTTTAATGTTTTATTTATTTCTGAGAGAGACAGACAGCATGAGCAGGGGAGGGCCAGAGAGAGAGGGAGAGAGAGAGAGATGCAGAATCTGAAGTAGGCTCCAGGCTCTGAGCTAGCTGTCAGCACAGAGCCCAACATGGGGCTCGAACCCACGAACCGTGAGATCATGACCTGAGCCCAAGTCGGAGGCTTAACCAACTGAGCCACCCAGGCGCCCCTGCATACCCATTATGAAAATTATATTTATTTAGCTGAAAATGTTCTCATTTTATTTTACATGTCTTTGATTCTCCAGTAAATTGATAAAATTTCCCCCATTTTTTATTCTGAGGTATGGAAGGAAATTTATTTATTCATTTACACATCAACATTTGTTGGTCATCTACAGTGTGGCACCCCTGCTTGCCAGGAAGTAGAAAATCAATGTGAGTGTGATTGAGCTTCCTCTAGTGAGGAAGGCAGATATTAACTAAGCAGACAAAATATAACAGTACAAATGATAAAATCTGATTATAAATTAATCGAATTATATGTTAAAATCTCAATGATTTTGGAAAATGAACTAGGAACCAGTGGAACCAGTGACTTACCTCAAGTGGAAATTTTTGTCCTTCTAAACTATGTTCCGATCCATCAGAAGACATATTGCATTTTCCCCAGTGAAAAGTTATCTTGCTTGCTTTGAACACCATGTCTGAAACTCCTCCACTGAGCCGGTAGTCATTAGTGAGATTAATTTCCACTTAAAAAAAAAAAGCCACACACACGCACAAAATTGCATTTATGTTTCCAAAAAGCAAAATTACAAATTTCGACTAATTTTTTTCCTATCAGATGTACATTAAGAGAATCATTTTTTGATAAATTAAACAATTCAGTCACCATTTAGAAGCTGAACTTGCTACTGTCCAAAATATACTTATTGTATCTTATTGCCACAAATACAAACTAAAGCAAAGACCTTAACCACTGTAGGACTCTAATAGCAGAAGACAGCCAGTCCATCTGCCCTGTCCCTTTGGTGTCCTGAGATTGCCATTTCCCCAGGGCTCTGCTTTCCTAAGGCATTTTATGGTAGTGAGGGGACAGAGAAAAGGGAGAAGGAACAGAGGAGTGGAGAAGAAAAGTCTTCTCTGGGGAGTGGCCCCCCACCTTCTCATTTTTAGCTCTTTCTACTCCCTGCAAGCAAGCATCGTATCAGGCTTCATCAGGCTCCAGAACTTCTGTCCTATGCTGTGGCAAGGAAGGTGGGAAGTCCATTCCCATCGAAGGGGGTTTAGCCATCTGATGTTTGAACCCTGAGTAGCAACTAAGAATCCTAAACTCTTCCTATTTGAGTTCCACATTTTACAAATGGTCTGAAGGTTAATGATTCTTTTGAGACCCTTATGTAAGATTTTAATGTCTCTCAATCAGATTTAAATAGTCTTTGTTCCATGAGGCAGAAACCAATGTCTGCATTTGGAACCAAGTCCAACATCTTGGCCTGTGAGCTACAGATATAAACTTCCAGTATTAATAATAATAACAACAACAACAAGAACACTATCAATAATGCTCAACATTTTATATATATCATTTACAATGTGCTATGCATTACACTGAGTACTTTACATGTGTTAAACATCTGATTTTTACACAACCTCACACAATGAAGGAAGGAAATACCATTACAGTTCTTATTTTACAGATAAGGAAACTGAATCACAGACAGTTCAAATAACTTGCTAAAGGTTCCACACTTAAAAAGTGTGGCTCTAGGGGTGCCTGGGTGGCTCAGTCCAACTTCAGCCCAGGTCATGATCTCATAGTTCGTGAGTTCAAGCTCCACATCAGGCTCTGTGTGCTGACAGCTCGGAGCCTGGAGCCTGCTGCAGATTCTGTGTCTCCCTCTCTCTCTGCCCCTCCCCTACTCACACTCTTTTTCTCATAAATAAATAAATATTAAAAAAAAAAAGTGTGTCTCTAAAGATCAAGTGGGTTGGCCACAGGTAAGTAAGAATATTAGAGCAGGGGTGCCTGGCTGGCTCAGTTGGTAGAGCATGTTACTCTTGGCTTCAGGGTTATGAGTTTGAGCCTTACATCGGGTGTACAGAATACTTAAAAATGAAATCTTAAAAAAAAAAAGGAAAAGAAAGAAGAAGCTACATGTTCTACTTCTTTGTAACAGTCTTCAAACCTAGTAATGAAAATGTCAAGATTTGGGACCATATGCTTTTATGTATTTAATTAATATCTTATATAATAATTTTAGTAATTATTCATTAAGAAACACCTACTGAATGCTTATCATATATCTTATCACATATCAGGAACTGATATAGAAAAATTCTTACCCTTATGGGACTTAAACTTAAATTACTACATTCAAATAATTGCATTATCAAAATATCAAGAATAGAGAAAAATTCACTAATGATAAATCCACCCCAACATAGCTACAATTATAATTTAGAATATTTTTTTTCTTGTATGTTTGTTTTTATATAGCTTCTGATATACATACAATTTTGTTTTAAATATAATATCAGAAAAGGAAGGCTATTCACTTCGAAAACTAGTTTGTCTCTATTGTTTACTGCAATTTTTCATGGTATTATATTTTGCATGTTTAGAAAAAAGAACAGTCTTTAAAAAAAGCATTTAAAGAGTGCTTCCTAAAGATAGTATATAATTTTAAAATTTCTATCTAGAAGTGCTACTAATTTTCTTTCTTTTTTTTTTTTTTTTTTTTACTAATTTCTTTTCTTAAAAGTAAATTATAGTTGGTTGCTTTTTTGTATCCCAATATTCAATGTAGCGTGAAGCTGAGTAGACATAAGCAAACAGAGTGTCCAAGAAAAGGAAATTCTGATTAACTAAGTAATTAACCAGCGATGGAATTATTAAGTTACATAATTTATATACTGTGTTATCTTTATCATTTCTTCTGGTGGAGGCATCAATTCTTTTTCTATTTTTGCAGAACGTGATGTGATGACTTTGCTCAATTTATTTTTTGTACACATCAAAATGTTATGTAAACTTCCAATTTACCGTGTTCTATTTGGTTTCTTCTACCTATATAGTTTCCATGCATTTACAGTACATTATACTTTCTACAAAGAAGATGAAATAAAATAAAATGAAGAAAATGAAAATAAAATGAAACTGACATACTCTAAGCCTAATAAGCATATTAAAGTCACAAACAAAATGCAAACAATTTTACCTGTCTTCCCAGTGTTATGAATGAATGTGTTTTCCAGAGATGTTTTATCCCAACCCTGAAATTTAAGTTTCTTAAGATTCACATTGACTTGGGTAAGATCTTCATCAATATTGATAGGAGACTGCTTGGGGCTACTACATGTTGGATATTTCTTTCCCCAGTTTTTTTGATTCAGGGCTCCTAAGAGAAGGGAAAGAGTAAGAAATTAGTTTCTTAAATTACTATGCAAAAGCTAAGTTTTATATTATAAAGTAATTAATACAGTATATAAAAAGAGATACAATAGTAGGAAAAAATTGGGAGTCTCTTGGAGTCAGTTCATAGAACAATTATGCCTGGCTGTGGATTCTGGGCTTTCTTGCGGTACACGATGAAAAGAAGCCTATACAGGGGCTCCTGGGTGGCTTAGTCGGTTAAGCGTCCGACTTTCGCTTAGGTCATGATCTTGCGGTTCGTGGGTTCGAGCCCCGCATCGGGCTCTGTGCTGACTGCCAGCTCAGAGCCTGGAGCCTATTTCAGAGTCTGTGTTTCCCTCTCTCTCTGACCCTCCCCTGCTCACGCTGTCTCTCTCTCTCCTAGAAATAAATAAAAATATTAAAAAAATAAAAAAATAAAAAAAAAATAAAAAAAAAGAAAAGAAGCCTATACAATAGCCACATCAAGTTCAATATTCAACAGTGGCTTTGCTTAGCCATCATTCTCTTTCAAATCAACAGAAGGCCTAACTGCCATGTCAGGTAGTCAGTCCAAGCCTGGGTTCCAGGTTGAAAGATGTCCCGATGACAGGTGCTAAATTCGGACTTCCTCAGCACTCTCCATGGGGTAGTTCTCTTTAGACCTTCTGTCTGTCACCCCTGCTGCTGAGTCATCTGGTTTAATTTTCATCTGCTCAGGGTCTGATGTATAAAAACATAATCACATGCTTTCCTTGAAATATCTCCTCTCTGTCACTTTTTTTTTTTTTTTTTGGTCATAAAGTCTAGCAGGTTTTATTGCTTAACAATGAGAAACGGAAAGCAGACTTTCTATAAAGATTTTGCCTACACTGAAGTGAATTTCCACCTGTTCCACAGAGTGAGCAGTCCTCTAAAGCAAAACTGTCCTGTGCTGCCTTTATTTCACCCCTCCCCAAAACTGTGAACCATCTCTCATAAACTTATTCCACTGGACGTTACCGTAGCGAGAGCCTGAGCAGCACCAAGAACAGTTATGTTCTATTTAAAGATCATCAACTTTTCTCTTTCTACATTTCTGCAGCCAGCCCAAGAAAGAGCAGGGTTTTCAGTTTATCTCCTTTCAAATGCTTTATTTTTCAGAAATGAGTACAGGGGAGGGGCGCCTTGTGGGCTTCCAGGTTGAGCATCCTTTGGATTTTGGCTCCGGTCATACGTCATGATCTTGCTGTTCGGTTCCTGAGATTGAGCCCCACATCCAGCTCTGTGCTGACAGTGCAGAGCCTGCTTGGAACTCTCTCTCTCTCTCTCTCTCTCTCTCTCTCTCTGCCTGTCATCCTCTGCTCACACACTCTCTTTCAAAATAAATAAATAAATACATTTTTAAGAAAAAAATAAGTATGGGTAAAGCCAGGAGCTTACATGATTGGTGTTTAGGGAAACTATACGTAAACATACCCTCCGTGCACCCTAGTCTATGCCATCTTGTTTTTGTGATGAAGGCATCAGAGAAGATTTTGACTTCCATGCAAAGCTCTCATAATGTGACAAAGTGAACTTTGCATAATTTAGCCCCAGAAAGAAATAATCATTAGTCATACCGTGAAATGGCCTGTTTAGCCAGAAATTAGGTGATTCATGTCCTAGTGAGGCATCTACCAAAATCAATAGGTGCTGAGAACTTAACTTTATTTTAAAATCTAGCTCTATTCCTAGAGAGTGCTGGAATACAATATGCTTTAAATATGCACAGCGATGCATATTTTGGCTTCTAAGACAGCTTTAATGATTTGAGTAATGATATGTTAATTTCAGTGTAAAGAACAGGGACTCGGATAAGAAAACACTGCTTGTTTTACTAATGTCGGTGCAAAAGCAGAGAAACTGTCCCATGAATCAATAAGACCCTCTGTGAACTGCTTAAAATGTTTAATGCAGCGAGGAGCAGCGCTTGCTTCAAGAAGGGACTGGAGCACCATCACTCTCCTCCCCACAACCACCGAGGCAGAACTCCCGCCTGAGGCATTGGATC